TGTTTAGCATGCGTATCATATGATCGCCTATCACTATTTTAAATTAATTTCGAATAATATAAGTGCGACGTGAGTATAAAACCACTCGCCAAAACTAACCGAACAATACATATATGAGTTAGATTTCACTGTAGCTTAGCTGAATCAAACCATAGGTTTGTTTGGTTTGTTAGAGTTAAGGCTTCCTCTGGGTTAAAGCTAACTATAATTAGGGTTTAGTTCCTTGTAATTTGCAAAAAAAAATGATCGTTTTAATATATTTTTCAGTATAGTTTTAATTGTTTGACTTCACATATTTATTTGATGAATTTTTAGTTTCTAGTAAATAAAAATAGTATATAGGCGATCATATGATATAAATGCTGGTAGAAAGTTATATGAGGAGAATAAATGCGACATGAGTATTAAACCACCCGTGAAAACTAACTGAACGGTTCATATACGAGGTAGATTTTACTGGACCTTAGCGGAATCGAACCATAAGTTTGTTTGGTTTGTTATAGTTAAGGCTTCCCTTGGGTTAAGACTCCCCACACTTACATTTTCTTGTGATAATGATCTTATTGAGACACTTATGTCACAAACCTTTTTGCAGATATGAGTATATTAATTTATTTTACCTAACTTTGTATGTTAAATTTTTATGTATTTTTGATCTTATTAATTGTTTTGTCTTGGGTTGTTTCAAAATAGCCACCTTTTACGGAATATGTTGGTGAAGTTCTTCAAGGAAGATGACGGTGGTGATGTTATTTTGGAACCTTCAGAAAAGAACGGTTGGGTTTCTGATTAATAGTTGTAATTTTTTTCCATTTTAGTTTTTTCATTTAGGTGTTACCTTTTTTTTTATACGGATTTAGATGTTTCTTTCAGATTTTGATATTTACTTTGGATAATTGTGTTGCATCAAAGTTTATAAATTATAAAAAATATGATTAGAAACTTATTTTTTTATTAAAACTAAATATTAATCGAAATCAGTTTAGAATAGTGATGAACGATCATATGATATAAATGTTGGTAAAATTATATGACGTGAGTATAAAATCACCCTTCACAACTAACCGAATACTACATATACGAGGTATATTTCACTATTGCTAAGCTAAATCGAACCACATTTTTGTTTTGTTTGTTAGGGTTAAGGTTTCCCTAGGGTTATGGCTCTCCATCCTTAGGGTTTACCTCTTTTTAGTTTGCAAAAAAATGTTTTTTGATGAATTTATAATTTTCTAAAAATATAAATGGTAAATGTATAAATCATAAAAATATGATTGGAAACTTATTTTTTATGAAAATTAGATATTGATCAAAATCAGTTTCAAATAGTGATAGGCGATCATATCATATAAATGCTGGTATAAATTTATATGAGAAGGATAAGTGCGACATGAGTGTAAAACCACCGCCAAAACTACTCGAACACTACATATACAAGCTATATTTCAAGCTCGAGTGAATCGAACCATAATTTTGAACAGTGTGTTTTCGATCATCATGTTAAG